TTAACCTCTGTCTCAGTTTCCTCACCTGTAAAATGGGGATAATAGTAGCCCTGTCTTCCAATGTGAGGCTCAAATCACGTAATAATTGTAAAACACTTAGCACAGTGCCTGGCGCATAGTAAGTACCATGTAAATATTAGCTATTATAATTATTATTATTATTGTTTCATGACAGTCTGACAGAGATAGAAAGAGTAGAAGTGAGGAATGGGGGACTCCTATTCCTTCATTGACTACACAGGATTACATCTGTGTTTGAATGGTTTTTATTAATAGTAGCCCAGTTCGAATTAAGCTTTGTTACTGTGTACCTGGGATGTTAAGATGATTTAAAATCTTCACACTAGAGTGACTTACTTCTTACTCCAGGAAGCAGAAGTCCTCTCCACCTCACACTAGAGAAGGCTACCATTTGACATTGAAGTAGATAGATAGGTAGATAAATAGATAGATATTGACACACACACACACACACACACACACACATATGTAAAACCATGCTATGCATAGTTCTATTTTTCACTTTTTTCTCTGGAAGTGAACAGCATCTTCCTTTATAGGTTCTTTGTAGTTGATTTGAGTGTTTATAATACTCATAATAGCTTAGTTGTTCACAGTTGTTCTTTGAGCAATATTGCTATTACTGTATACAATGTTTTCTTGGTTCTGCTCATTTCATTCTTTGTTATTTCATTTAAGTCTTTTCATGCTTTTCTAAAATCAACCTGCTCATCATTTCTTATAGCGCAGTAGTATTCCATCACAATCATATAGTAAACTCGTTTAGCCATTTCCCAATTGAAGGGCATCCTCTCAATTTCCAGTTCTAAAATGATCTATTTTCAGTAGAACATAACTTGAGTTGTTTTTTCTGGGTACTGATGATTTCACCATCTCTCTATGGAGTGTAACTTGGTTTGAACCAAACTGTACCCAGGGGAGGCTTGATGCTGTATCATTTTTTCTCCACTAAAATTTAGAGGCCTGTTTTTCAAGCCAATTAAACACAAATTTATTAAATGCCTACTACATATTATGCCCTGAGAGCTTTCAATTTTTATAATCTAGCTACTGCTTAGATTCTTAAAATCTAGCCACTTCTCTGATTCTTAGAATCTAGCCACTGCTTATCCATAAGTTGTGTATGTCTCCTTAAGAGGCTCTTAAGGACTCCTTAAGAGTCTGCCTAATATGATGGATGTTCTAATAAACCTTGTCTTTGGCTGAAAGAAGGCTTGGGTCGAATTCTTTTGGGCAGGACCCATGTGTTGTGATTTTGGGGTCCCAGCACCCCTGAACCCCTAAACCACATCAGGTCCAGATCCCAAAGACATGATCTTTTCCTTTTAGGGGTTCAGATCCCATCCCCATCATTCCCCCCTCAAACAAATGGGACCTAAATTCTTTTGGGGTAAGGGGCGGAGGTCTTGGCTTCTGAAATAGCTTCCTGCTGGCAAGGGGTCAGGAACTGTCCCTGCCTCGAGGGGTCCCAAAGAGGAGACTGGAACCGAGCATAGGCTGTATCCAGGGGACAAATGGGGGGACATTGGCTGGTACCTGTTGTTTGCTACCAACTGTAGGTGAATGGCCTGTAGTCTGGAAGACACAAATCTGACAGAAAAGACCGCAGGGCCCAGATATAGGGGGAAGTAAAAGTGTAAGAGCCCCATTAAAATAATTTACATTTGACCTGCAGGATTATCTGATCTCATTATTTTTTCAAAAATTTAAATAACACTTCTGCAGGTAGAAGTTTTCCACCCCTGGGTTCAATCACACTTGGTAAATTCTTGTTGGATTGAATTGAATTAATTTCAGAGGGAGGAGGAGCCCTAACCAGGTGTTGTGTGTGCGTGTGTGTGGGCAGGGGAAGGGGGTGGGAATCAGAAAAGGCCTCCTGTAGGAGGTGGCACTTGGGCCCAGCTTCCAAGTAAACCAGGGATTCTTTGAGTTAGAAGGGAGGAGGGGGAGCATTCCAGGAATGGGGGGAACGACTTAGCCAAGAATGGAGGCAGAATATGCAATAACATAGGGAACACCATGTAGGTCATGTTGGTTGGAACATTGAGGGATAACAGAGTAATGTATAATCGGCCTTGAAAAAGATGCCAGAGTCAGATTGCATGCAAAGGGCTTTAAATATTATAAAGAGGAGTTTATATTTTATTCTAGCACAGTATTTCTCAAAGTGAGGTCCAGGGATGTTTTCATAGGGTCAAAACTATTTTAATGATAATACTAAGAAGTTAAAATTTTTTTTATGGTTTGTTCTTTTCTTTCAATAAACAACTTATAACAATTTGAAAAACTCTCTATGTAGAAACTCATTTCTCAATGCAAGAGATTGTGAAACAATTGGTATTTATAAATAGCACAGGGAGCCCCATTTTTAACTAGGGCTTGTAGAACTGTGTTTTATCCTGACATCAATGAAGCTCCTTCAGTGAACTGTCCATTACAGTTCTCTCACATTAATCAGTAACCTTGGCCATCCAATGTCTTGCCAAGGGTTTATGATGCATCATTTTATTATTTTCTGTTTTTTTGTTTTTTAATTTTTTATTAATTTATTTTTATTTATCAATAATCACTTCCATATGCTTTTGAGTTTAAAATTTTTCTCCCCCTTCCTCCCCACCACCCTCCCCAAGACAGTGCACAATCTGATATAGGCTATACATTTACATTCCTATTAAACATATTTTCACATTTGTGATGTTGTAAGTAAAAATTAAAACCAATAGGAGGAACCATCAGAAAGAGGAAACAAAACTCAATAGAAGAGAAAAAAAATAGCAATTCGACTTCCATAGTTCTTTCTTTGAATGTGGATAGCATTTTCCATCACAAGGCCTCTGGAGATGTCTTAGATCCTTGTATTGCTGGGAAGGGTTAAGTTTATCAATATTAGTCATCACACAGTGTAGTTGTTATTGTGTACAACGTTCTCTTGGTTCTGCTCACTTCACTCAACATATGATGCATCATTTTAATTAAAGACATACACAACTTATACAGAAAAATTCCCTTGATATAGCATCAGCATTAATACATTTGCAAGGAAATAATCTTTCTTAAATTTTTGAAAAACTCAGTTTTGTTTTATTTTCACTTCTGAATTCTCTCCTCCCCACTCTCCCCCTCCCCCCTGCCACATCCCTACCCATTGAGGAGGCAAGAAAAATAAAATCCATTACAAATATGTATAATTAAGCAAAATAAATTACCATCTAGCCATGTCCAAGGAAGGGAGGAAGGAAGGAAGGAAGGAAGAAAAATATACTTCAATCTGTACTTTTGAGTCCATCAGCTATCTATTTGTAACATTTTATCATTTTATCATGAGTACTTTGGAATTGTGGCTTGTCATTGTGATGATCAGAGTTCCTAATGTGAAGTTTTAATTTCAGTACAATAAATATCAATAGATGTAACCCACATGAACAAAAGCTCTTTGGGGATTCTCAATAATTTTTAAGTCCAATTTGAGTCCAACAAGTTTGAGTACCTTTCTCTGATCTAGAAGCAATAGGAAGTTGCAGAAGCTTCTTGAGTCAGGGAGTGACGTGATCACACCTGTACTTCAGGAACAGCTATTTGGCAGTTGTGTGGAGTGTTTATTAGTGGAGGAGAAATTAGAGGCTGAGAGACCATTAAGGTGGCTATAGTGCAGTAATCTAGCTTAGGGATGGTAAAGACCTGCACTAAGGTGGTAGCTGTATCAAGTGTAGAGAATTTGAGACATGTTGTGGAGATAAAATTGATAAGTATTGGGCAACTGATTAAATATGGGGGAATGAAGATGGTACTTTGTAAACTTGAATGACTGGAAAGAAGGTGGTTCTCTTAACAGAAATGAGGAAGTTAGGAAGAGAGTTGGGTTTAGAGGGGGAAGATCATGAATTCCCTTTTCAGATGCCCAGTAGGCATTTGGTGGTTTGAGGTTCCAACTCTGGAAGTGGTTTGAGAATAGATTTTGGAATCATCTGCATAGAGAAGTTAATTCAATCTGTGGGAGCTGATGGGATCACTGAGGGAGTGTATAAAGAGGAAAGAAGAGAAGAGGTCTCAGGATAGAACCCTGGGCTATACCCATGCCTAGGGAACAAGACATGGATGATGATCCGGCAGAGTGGACCGAGAAGGAATAATCAGACAGGTGAAAGAATCAGGAGAGAATGGTGTCATAAAATTCAGTATAAGAGAATGGGGTGGTCAACAGTGTTGGGGACCTCAAGAATGAGGATTGAGGAAAAGCTAGTGGATTTAACCATCAAGATATCATTGGTAACCTTGGATATAACAGTTTTAATTGAATGTTGAAATTAGAAGCCAAATTACAGGAGATTTAGAAGTGAGTGAGATGTGAAGAATTGGAGGCAGTAAACGTAGACAGCTTCTTCTAGGAGCTGGGCAGTGAATGGAAGGAGAGATTAAAGAAGATAGCTTGAGGAGATGGCAGGGGACAAGAATAGCAAGAAATCCAGGCATGTTGGTGGGTCGTGGGGGAGAATATTAATTTATTAAAATGTATGTTAACCCTTGAGCATGAGAGGGACAAATGTAGATATGTTCTTATTTTTAAAAATCAATGGGAAATTTATTTTTCTTTAGGTTGGATGCCCTTTGCTTGCTATTAACTTCTCATGTATTTTTTAAGGTATTGTTGGCCAAATCTGCCAGTTGCTTGGTTTGTAACCTTTTGGAAGTCAGAGTTATTAATCTTTTCATCTGTAAGACTAGGAGATTGAGGGGCAGTTAGGTGGCACAGTGGATAGAGCACCGGCCCTGGAGTCAGGAGGACCAGAGTTCAAATCTGGCGTCAGACAGCTTACTGGCTGTGTCACTTGTGTCACAAGTCACTTAACCCTGTTGCCTAGCCAAAAAAAAAAAAAGACCAGGAGGTTGGAGTAGGATACCTAGAAAATCCTGTCTAGATCTAAAATTCTGTAATTATGCATTTTATACCATTAAGTGTAATTACTATTCTATTTTTGTAGCAAATGCTGATGTTTTAAAGGCCATGGTGGCTGATAACAGCGTATGTGATCCTGAAAGGTGAGACTTTTTTTTTCTTTAAAGGAAGCTTTTTCATTTAATTACTCAAATTTAATGACACAAAGCTTGCCATTTCTCTTTTGTAATGGTCTTTATCTTAAGTATTGTTTATAGATGGTACAGAGATAGTCATTGATGTGCTTATTTAGGAGACATTTATTACATGTGAAACATTGCTACAATAACATTCATTTTAAGCTGTGGTTCTTGAATATTATATTTCTGAATATGTGCCTGAAGTAATTGATCATAGAATTTATACAGAAGTTGCTAACATTAGTTAAAAATCCATGTGTGGTGTTTTTACTATAATCTTTCCCAGAAGATTAAAAATATCTCTTTAAAGAAAATAGCACTTGAAATTCAAGTAGACAGTAAGGTTTAAAAATATAATTCAGATAAAGGTCATATAGCAACTTTTCTCTTGCATATATGTGTGTGCATATGACAAAGATTGCCAAGTACACACATGCGTGCACACACACACACACAGACACACATATATCTCTCTATACATGTTATTTTCTCTCTCCCAAGCTAATATATATAGACATACATATGTGTCTATGTAAATAGACTTGTTAACTTTTGTCATTCAGTCTGTTTGTCACCATTATCATCCTTCCTTCCCTAAAGCTTGAGAGAAATACTGTAACAGCTCTTCCTTTCCCAAATCTCCTACCATCCCTCCTGGAAAGATTTGACTGGAAAGTGGCTCCCTCCATTGTTTGTGAGGGTTGGCTTATGGTGATGTAATATGCCTAATACTGAGTAACCCAGAAGAAAATGGCACACCAGTTTAGAAAGGTTGCCAACTCCTACCAATAGTAGACCTTTTACTTTTGTTAGGGGAGATGGGAGGGATGACAAAGAAGAACTGGCAAGATTTCCATGAAGTCAGGATGAATGACCTCTCCTCCCCTCTTTCTGCACATTTATTGCTGTGGTATTGGATGCCGAATTTTAAAACTTTATTTTTTCTCAAAAAAAGAAAGAAAGAAAGACAGAAAGAAAGAAAGTACCTTTTAAGACATGGTCAAAAGTTAATTAGTATTTGGTTTTATCTAACCACAAAGGCACACATTTTTAGGCTATCTATGCTGAAGGTAAGGCAAGAGCTCAGCAGGGAATGAGAAATACTATCCCATGGTTCTACCAGTGAGTGTATTAAAAATTAAGAAAGAAACATCACCCTTTCAAGTCAAACAGAATATCATCAATTGAGCCAATTGTTAGTTTCCACCTGATTGCATGATAAAATGTTAGATTGTGTGAGGGAAAAAAAGGCTTGTATTTTTTTTTTTTTTTTTAGAAAAAAGTGAAATGTGAATGAATTGCTATGTGTGTTGAATCCCTTGTGATCAAAAAACAATTTACAAAGCATGTTTATATCACTGAAGTAGACTTTTTTTTATTATGTGAAATTATATGAGTTTTGTTTTTTAATTAACTGAAGTTTCCTTAAAGTAACTAATTCTTCCTAATTTGATTCCCACCCTACCAGCCCTTTGACTCCGAGTACTCCGGGCAGCCCTCCAGTGAGTCCTGGCCCCATGTCACCAGGAGGTACTCCAGGAAAGCATATGTGCGGCCACCATCTACATACTGTTGGAGGGGCAGTAGAAAAAGACGTATGCCAGCGCTGCAGACATAAACGGTGGCACTTCATAAAACCAAGCAACAAATCAAAAGAAGGAAGAAGTCGGCGCCAAGGAGAAGTGACAGTTCTTTCTGTTGGCAGGTAAGAACCATCTCCTTTATTATGCTTCTGATTTTGATCATTTGAAACTGGCTTGTACTTACTGAATCTGGTACATCCCTTCTTCATCCATAACTGTATTCTCATCCGTGCTTTTGACAAATTTCTTTTTCCTACGTTCTAACCTTCTACAATAATGAAAAGCTCCCTGTCGGCCAGCAGTAAATAGGCTGAAAGAAGATGGCACCAAAGGGCTGCCATCTAGGGTAAGCTGGGTTGGGATTTCCTGGTGGGGAATTTTACAGTTTCACTAGAGCAGGTAGCTCAACATTTTATAACTTCTCATTGTCAGCCGATGTGAATTCATTGCTTACTTTTCCATTCTGTAAGATTGAAATTCCTTATGTTAAATGATACTTAGGTATGATGTTGGCTTGCTGCTAGGACTGTGAACTGAAAAGAGATAGACATTTGAATAGCCTTTGTGGATTTTTTTCACTGCCTTGCAATTCAGCAATTACAGCAAAGAGAAGGCAATGAAGGGTACCCTGAAATGTCCATAATAAGATGTACTATAAAAAGAATTTTTCACTCAGAGGCTTGATTTGGAGAGAAGCAAAGTAGGTTAAAGTTTCTGTATTTGATGGCAAAAATTAGAGTCAGCTAGATAGTCATTCATTTCCGATCTGATTTCTCGTTCAAGGCAGTTGTAGGATTTAAGTCTTTCCCATTTGTTGGCTTCAGTGTGTATAATAAAAGTCAACTCATGACCTAAAGGCCCCTGAACATGTGTCAGAAAGATGAAAAACTCTCTACCATTTAAGCTGAACTAAAATCTCAAATCCTCATGAACTATAAAGAAGAAAGCACAAAAGACCCTGGGATGGGAAGCCCGATCAAGGTCACTTTTGTACTGTAACACCCTGGGTAGCACACAGAAGCAGAAGAAGGCTTGAAAAGTGTTTAAAAATAATTCAAGGTTGGGGATATTCAAGCCTGGTAGGGAAGCAAATTTTGACTACTGAATACAAAATCCTTGAAGTCCTTTCAGCTTTGATTTTAAAAATGTCTTATTGTTGAATTTGATGCCCTAACCAGGATGAGACACTAGCGCAGGTAGTTATAATATAAGATATTACATGATAATTTATTAGGTCTGAAAGGTAATGTCATTCTCAATGGAGAAATCGTGGAGGAGATGGCATTTGAATTAATCTTTGAATGATGGGTAGAAATTCAGTAGATTGAAGTGGGGCCGGATTTCCTGTCTGTAAACAAAAGCGCAGGTGTGAGAGTGTAGCAATTATCTTCCTATACTGCCCAACAAATTGTACAAATTACTACATATAATCAGGTACTTCATAAAGAAGCCTTGAGGATGATGGAGGAGAAGAGATTCCTACTAGGCTGTAGCTTGCATTTTGACACTCCCATTACTCTAGTGTGTGGTAAGGACATGAAGTATAATGAGAGGTAGTTTGAGTCATGTTTCAAGAGTCAGAAATAGGAAAATCAGTTAGCCCCAAACTGATAGCAGAGAACAGGACCACTGAAATATGACGGGGTTTAAATATGGAAATGGTATGTATGAAGTATTCACCAACTTCAGCTGGCCTATATGGACTCCTTTAGCTTTTCCAGTGGATTTCTTTTACAAGATTTCTAAGTTCTTTTTTTTTAATTTCTCACACTTTGTTTGTCTGTACCATAATGCATATTTAAACTATTAGAATGCCCACTAATCTAAAATTATTAATGACTTTTTGTGCAGTCATATTGATAGTTTTATTGTTGTTTTTCAGTTGTGTCCAACTCTTTGTGACCCCACTTGGAGTTTTCTTGGCAAAGATACTGGAGTGGTTTGCCATTTCCTTCTTCAGCTCGTTTGACAGATGAGGAAACTGAGGCAAACAGGGTCAAGTGACTTGCCCAGGGTCACACTCTGAGGACAGATTTGAACTCAGGAAGATGAGATGTCCTCACGTCAGGGCTGGCACCCTGTCCACTGTGCCACCTAGTTGCCCTGGTAGTTTTATGCAGGAGCATAAGGTTCTCTTCCTCTCCCTCGGTTTTGCTCTTTGTGGCCCAGAGAAGAGACTACTTTAGAGCTGTTTGCTGTACAGGTGCAGTAGCATAGGAGACAGCACTGTTTTGCCTAGCTCTCATAGTCATGAAAATTTCAGAAGTGGTAGAAATCTGTAGTTTTTGCAGAGAGAATGCCTTTTATTTACTCCCCCCCCCCCAAAAAAAAATTAATCTTAGGATCTGATGAAAGGTTAAGCTTCAGTATACTGGAGAACCTACATTCCTTCAAGTGCCCCCGCCCAGAGCTAGACCTGTTTCTGCCTGGGGACAGTGATGTTGGGAACTGAGCTTTGCAATCTTGTTGCTTTGTGGTGCTCTGGTTGTTGTCAGCCACACACAAAAAGCAAATAATTTGACCCACAGAGAAAATTGTTGTTTGCAACACTTTTTTCTCATTCTTCCTCAAAGCCCTCTTCCACATAGGTGATAATTTCATTCTGGATGAAGAGAGTTCCATATAGGCGATAGTTTCATTTTGGATGGAGAGAGTTCAGGCCAAAGGATATTTTAGAAAGGTAGAAGTAAAATTAGTTTGGGAATAGGAAAAAGCTATTATGAAAGACTATATGTGGCTTTGTATTATATTATAAAGTATATCACTTTATATATTATGAGGTATATAATTATACTATATCATAACTTATATTACATTATAATTATACATTGAAGTTATACATAATTTTATTTCACTAAATTTAGTATTTCATAATGCATACTTTCAGGTTAAAATTATATGTAAAATGGTATTATAATTATATTAATATAGCATATGATTAAAATTTTATATTGAAATGATACTATAATTATATTAATATAATATAGCATATGGGCAGCTAGGTGGTGCAGTGGATAGAGTGCTAGGCTTGGAGTGAGGAAGACTCATTTTCTTTTCTTTTTTTTTGGTGGGGGGAAGGGGGCTAAGCAATGGGGTTAAGTAACTTGCCCAGGGTCACATAGCTAGTCAGTATCAAGTGTCTGTGGTCAGATTTGAACTCGGGTCCTCCCGACTTCTGGGCCGGTGCTCTATCCACTGTGCCACCTAGTGCCCTGACTCAATTTCCCGAGTTCAAATCTGGCCTCAGACAGTTACTAGCTGTGTGACCCTGGGCAAGTCACTTAGCCCTGTTTGTCTCAGTTCCCTCATCTGTAAAATGAGCTGGAGAAAGAAATAGCAAACCACTCTGGTATCTTTGTCAAGAAGACCCCAAAGTGGGGTCATGAAAAGTCAGATACGACTGTCAAACAATTGAACAACAACACAAATGTAGCATATATAATAGTAATATTAATAATGAAATAACTTAAATTATGTTAGATACTTAAACTCCCTCCTTAGTCTTCTATTATTCCCCCTTAAAGAAAATTGACCTAATTCAATGTCCACCCCTCCATAATTTAAAACAACAACAACAACAGTACACCTCTGACTAAGGTTGAGGTTTGGGAGCCATCAGGGTGGGAATGTACAGCATTACTCTAGCAAACGCTTTTTATTATATCAGTCTGGTTCGTGAATTCAATACTTAAAAAAAAATTATAGCCAATTATAGACTTGTTGCTTTGTCGTGAGTGCCTACAGTGGATTAGGCATATTCTAGAATATTCAAAAAGTATAATATAGTTCCTGCAAGATTCATGCGGGGATGTTTCAGGGAACAGAAGGGGCTGGTGGGTGAAAAAACTTACCCTATTCTGTTTTCTCTTCTGGGATAATTTTTAATGCCTACCTTAACTTTTAGCTTCTTTTGTATGTAGTCTCTCATGTTTCTGAGTTATTTATACCTTTGTGTTTTAAGAAAACAAAACCAAACAGGGGCTTCTCTTCTCTCCTCAGGTTTAGAGTTACAAAAGTGGAACATAAGACCAATGCCAAGGAACGGAGAAGTCTGATGTCTGTGAGCGGTGCAGAAAGTGTCAATGGAGAGGTACCTGTTACCCCTGTGAAAAGGGAACGAAGTGGCACAGAATAAGAGGTGGGTTTTATCACTGCCCCCCATTGATATATGGGGGAAAATATGTGGGGACACTGCCATGTATATGTTTTTGCATAGCAACATGAGTGCTTAACATGCTTGTATTAATTTGTATAAACTTATTTATGTGCATGTTGTCTCTCCTGGTAGAGTATAAGCTCCCTGTTGGCAAGAAATGTTTCATTTTTGTCTTTGTATCCTTGGTGCCTAGCACACAATAGATGCTTAATAAATGCTTGTTGACCACTTATATCATAATCTTTGAGGCACTTGCTTGTCATGATTAATGGGGAAGTACGAGAATGAATTATTACTGTACTGTTTAGTTGATGACAGGCAACATGAACTGGTGCTACAAAGTCTATTGAGACATCTTGTTAAAATGTTTTGGCAGGGAAATGTGGAAGCTTGGCTTTAAAGGAATGACACTGGATGTGGTTGGTCAAGATATCATTGGTCCATGGCTTTCCCTCTTGTCATCTATTATATTTTTTTCTTTCTTTTTTTTTTTTAAGGCAATTGGGGTTAAGTGACTTGCCCAGGGTCACACAACTAGTCAGTGTCTGAGGCTAGATTTGAACTCAAGTCCTCCTGACTCCAGGGCTAGTGCTTTATCCACTGCGCCACCTAGCTGCCCCATCATCCATTATATTTTTTTTGTTTGTTTGTTTTTTGTTTTTTTTGTTTTTAGGCAATTGGGGTTAAGTGACTTGTCCAGGGTCACACAGCTAGTAAGTATCACATGTTTAGTCTGAGACCGAATTTGAACTCAGGTCTTCCTGACTTCAGGGCTGGTGCTCTATCCACTGCTCCATCTAGCTGCCCTGCCACTGCGCCACCTAGCTGCCCCCATTATATTTTTTTTAAAGGAATAGTGACAGATGTCATTTGATGGAATTGGAAACAAGTAAAACCTCATTAACCTACCCCAGATACAAAGAGTATCGACCATTTCTTGGTCTGGCAATAGATCTGGACATTGATAATTAGATTCAGTTCATTATTAATTAAGTGTACATTCTGTGAAAGGCCCTTGTGATACAAAGATGAAAATAAAACAGTCCCTGTCTTCAGGGATCTTCCATTCTACTGGAGGTGAGAGGTAGACATACAACATGTACACCAGTACATGTAGGAAATATTGAGGAGGGAGAGAGAGCCCTGGGGTGGTAGTTTCAGGGAAGGCTTCACAGAGGAGCCAGTACCTCAGATGATCTAGGGGTATGTTATTTCACTTGTGGCCCAGAGCGGAGAGGAAGCTTAGAGGAATAAAGGGATAAGTCAAATAGAAACACAGCCGACGTAGTGACTATTACTTCCATAGCTCAGAAAAGCATAGGATGAATCTTGAACGTGTTCGAAGGAAATTCTGTTCCTGTATCTTCAAGTCCATGGGGATTTTGAGCATGTTCTGTGTCCAGCCTTTATTGTCTTAAGCTATGGAGAAGTCCAATTTTCTTTCCGCCGTATTTTCGAGCTCAGCAGGTTCCATTCTGGCACAGTCTACGCGCCTCTCTAAGTTTGCAGGTGACACCCAAATTGAACTGAGGAGAAGCCAACACTCTGGAAGGCAGTTCTGTATTTCAAAATGCACTTGGTAGATAGGGGAAGCATTCTGAACACATTTTGGTGAGCCTGAGTACCTCTGGGAGGAAAGTAAACTGTTCAAATTCAAGTTGCTAAAGGGCTGTCAAATTGAAGAGAAAAGAATTTAGGGATCCCAGTCATAACCAGCTGACTGTGAGTCAGCTGTGTGGCAATGAAGTAGAAAAAAGCAAGCATGATACCAGGGTATGTACAAAGGTGTAGAGCGTACGAGCTCAGGCAGGGACTCTGAAGAAATCCTTCTGCCGTACTCATCATTAGTCAGGCTATTCCACATGTACCAGATCCACCTCCAGGGTCCACAACTAAAAAGAAATGCTAAGATGTTAGGGAGGATTCTGGTGAGCAACTGAGGTGGTAAAGAATTAGATGTTCAGGATTAGGAAAAGTTTAGAGAATCAGGTTTGTCTGACCAATCCCGTTGGTGTACATTGTATGTGCTTCATTCAGATTTACTAAGGTCATTAGAATTTTGAATCTGTATTACAAAGTGCTCAACTGTAACCCATCACTCACCAGTTTAGCATTACAATCATGCTGTCTTGAGATCCAGAATGAGGGGAGGTACCTTCCTGAGCACCTGAACCTAACATAACTCTGCACTGACTTTGGTGCTACTTAAAAAAGGACTACATTTTAAACCTACTACATGTAGATGTTTAGATTGTGTCTTTAGATAATCTTATTTATCCCACTGTGCATATTTTTTACCCTTAATAGTATTTCATTTTTTTCCAATTAAATGTAAAGATAGTTTTCAACATTCATTTTTGTAAAATTTTGAGTTCCAGATTTTTTTTTCCCGTCCCTCTGCCTTTCCCCCTCCCCGACACAGCAAGCCATCTGATATAGGTTATACATGTATAATCATGTTAAACACATTTCCACATTAGTCATGTTATGAAAGAAGAATCTGAACAAAAGGGAAAAACCATGAGAAAGAAAAAAACAAAAAAAGTGAAAATAGTATGTTTTGATCTGCATTCAGACTCTGTAGTTCTTTCTGTGGATGTGGTTAGCATTTTCCATCATGAGTCTTTTGGAATTGTCTTGGACCATTGCATTGTTGAGAAGAACTAAGTCTATCACAGTTAATCATTGCACAATGTTATGTTACTGTTACTGTATCCAATGTTCTCCTGTTCTGCTCACTTCACTCAGCATCAGTTCATGTAAGTCTTTCCAGGTTTTTCTGAAATCTGCCTGCTCATCATTTCTTATAGAACAATAGTATTCCATTACATTCATATACCACAACTTGTTCAGCCATTCCCCAGTTGATGGGCATCCCCTCAATTTCCAATTCTTCGCCACTACAAAAAGAGCTGTTATAAATATTTTTGTACATGTGGATCTTTTCCCCTTTTAGGTGGTCTCTTTGGGATACAGACCTAGTCCCACTGTGCATTTTAAGAATAGCATCATTCTGGAGTCAAATCCAAGGAGTGTAGTGTGCAGATTGTAAACATGTGGGAGGGGGTGAGCTACAGTAGAGAACCTATTGAATTTGGGGTCACAGGATGCTGGGGGCAAGTTATTTATTTCTCAGCTTCAGTTTCTTCGTCCATTAAAGGAGGTGAATGAACTACAGGATCTCTTAGGCCTTCTCAGGGTTTATGTCTTATGAACAAGGAGGAATATTTAAAGTTATTCTTGAATTAATTACAAAATTTTATTGAATAGAACAGAGATGTTCAATTAACATTTACTGTAATTTTTTAACAATAAAATTGTAAACATTATAAAAATACCATCACTCTCTAATTAAATTTGGAGTATTAAGAGGTGAGTATGCTCCTTGATTTAAAACAAATGCATATAGATACAACTTTTAGTTTCTTTTTTTTTAATGTATAAGTCTGCTGGGGAAGAAAGACTCTGTTAATGTATTTAAGAAAATTAATGTGATCAGATTTTTTTTTTTTTTTTTGCTTTTTGGTGAGGCAATTGGGGTTAAGTGACTTGCTCAGGGTCACACTAGTAAAGTGTCAAGTGAGGCCAGATTTGAACTCAAGTCCTGACTCCAAGGCCAGAGCTCTATCCACTGCACCACCTCATTGCCCCAGATCAGATTTTTCAATAAAGGAAGTTTCCAAAATCAGTCAGAAATTTCCGAGTTAGAAGGGACCTCAGCAGCCACCTAGCAAAGAGGAATCCTCAGTCTACCCTTCCTGATAAATGGTTATCCAATCTCTGCTTGACCTACTCTTCCCACAGGCAGTACACTATGCTTTTGGGTATTTAAGAGGAAAGGCTTCCTATGGAAGGTAGGATTAGGAACTTGATGGAAGCCAGGGAAGCCACTAGGTGGAGATGAGGAAGGAGAGAGCATTCCAGGCATAGGGGCAGGCAGAGAAAATTCCTGGAGTTGAGACATGGAGAATCTTGTTTGTGGAACAGCAAGGAGGCTGGTATCTCCCTGGATTGAAGAGTACGTGGTGGAGAGTAAGGTGTAAGAAGACTGGAAAGGTAGAATGGGCTAGGAGGTTATCAAAAGTTTTGAAAGTCAAACTAAGGATTTTGTATTTGATCCTGGAGGTGATAGAGAGCCAGTGGAGTTTATTGAGAAGGGGATGATATGGTTGGATCTGCACTTTAGGAAAATCACTGTACTTGTTGAATTGAGGAAGCATTAGAGTGGGGAGAGACTTGTGTCAGGCAGACCTACCAGCAGGCTATTTCAGGATTACTCTAAGAAAATGATGTCTATGAGGACAGAGAACGTGTCTTATTTCCTTTTTCTGTTTTGCCCACTGTCTTAAACAGGGCTTTGCACATGGTTCACACTAGAGCTGGAAGGGAACTCAGAGGTCATCTAGTCCAAGTCTCTCATTTTATAGATGAGGAAACTGAGGCTCAGGGAGATTAAATTATTTATTTGCATAGTAAGTATCCAAGGAAGTATTTGGCCCCAGGTGCTTTGAGTACAGATCCAAAACTCTTTCCATTGTGTCATACAATGGACACGTAAATAATTGTTGACTGAGTGAGAATCCAGTGCTTATTCTTTAGTTGCTTTTTGAATTTGTATCTTTTTTTTAATAAGCTACCAAAATCTAGTTTAATATTCTAGGGTTGCTGGAATCAGGATTTTGTAAAGTATTTTTGTGTCCGTCTTTGACTGTGGTTCGTTTTTGTAGCTACATCTGAGTTGCTACCTACCTCATTTATTTTGGCAGTGAAATTGAGAAGGTTTCTTTATTCCACTGTAAGTGTTTTTTGATTCCTTCATGAAGACTAAGCTTTTATTCTTCCAAGTTGAATTGAGTTCCTTTTATCCACTAAGTAGCTTAGTCAGCTGTCTTCCAATTAAAAAAAATTTAGAAACATGTATCACAAATTCTTTCAGTATTTATTTGCCATTTTATAATAATTCTTTTATTAATAAAATAAAG